CACCCTTCTTGTGAACTGGTACAATAATAGACTCCTTCCACCGATCAGGCAATTTTTCCTTATGCCCAATAGAAGTAATTAGCTTATGGATCTTAGAACGTAATATTTCGTCTCCTGCTTGAATAAGTTCTGCCAGAATTTGATCATTACCTGGCGATTTATACCTTTTCAATTTTGCAATAGCAATTTCAACCTCAGAAGTGCTAGGATCAGGTACTAACAGCTCAGCTGTGTGCATTTCTACCTGCCTAACATCACTGACCCTATGTACATTCAGTAAATGAGAGAAGTAGTTCTTCCACCCATTCAAAATGTTGTCGGAATCTGCAAGCAGATCACCATTCTCATCCTTCACTAAGTTACTTCTAGGTTGGTAACCCCTCTTTAAGACATTTATTCTTCTATATAGGTCTCTAATGTTCTTGTTCTTACTGTTCATTGTAAGCTAATCAATTTTGTCTTTCAGATATTCCCTCTTTTTATTCCTGAAATGCCTGCTGGTTTCACGTCTTATATGGTTCAGATTATCCTTGTTTATTTTGCTTGGATCCTGTAACCATTGCAATTTGGCTTGTTTTCTTTGGTCTAATAATTCTGAGCATCCTTCATCGAACCATGGCATATGCTTCTTCAGTTCATAATAACCTAGACTCTCCTTGGTAGAAATTTTGATATTCTCTCTTAATAGTTTCCCAAGCTTTATTAACATCCACCTCCGTGGCCACATTTTTCAAAGCTGTGAACCTATTTGAGATTTTAACATGATACTGCTCTTTACCCTCTACCTCATTTAATTTCTTGAGATTGAACCTCTCCATATGAACACTGTGCGTTGTTTGTTTGCTCAGTGCCAGTCTTTCCCTAACCTTTGCCACCACCAGGTAGTGGTCAGTATCACAATCTGTTGCCCTGAATGATCAGACATCAAGTATACTTGAGTGCCATCTCCTATCTATCAAAATATGGTCTATTTGATTGTGTATCTTCCCATCAGGACATGTCCAAGTAAATTTATGGATGTTATGATGTGGGAACATTATATATACACATATACATAAACAATTCAAGGCTACAATTTCAAAATATGATTCATGCTTTATTTTATAACTGAACTGCACTACTGTATCATGCAATAATGCAAGATCTGTATACTATCATTCACAATAATACAGTTTGTAGAAACATACCCATGTATTCAAAAACTAGGTAGATATCATTATTGTTTACAGCTCGGTGTATACTGTGAAGCTTGATAATATTGGGGTGACTTCCAAATTCCTGAAGGAGCATGATTTCTCTGAATGTCCGCTGAGCTTCTGTTCGACTTTTGAATGCATCACATATTTTCTTCACTGCAACAACTTCCTTGTTTCTTTTATCAATTGCTTTCCATACTATTCCATATGCCTGCAGATTGTATAAAGTTCAGGATATATTAAAATTAATAAGGATAAGAAGAAACACATGTTACAAAAATTATACCCATACCCTGTTACAAAACCAAGACCTTACATGGAAAGGTCACCAGAAATAATCTATCGTTTTCTTATTAAATAATTCATTTTACTGCAACATTGGGACTGAAACATAAAATCGAATAAATAAAAACTCAATAAAAAGGTTAATTTATGTCCTCTTTGCACACAAGATGGGTATGGTCGTAAAACTTACGCCTTCGCCTAACCTCCTCTTAATGTCATATCTCCTCGTGATGTGTTCATCTATTTTTGCTGCTGTCATATTGCTTATTACAGCATTTTCGGATTTTTAATGAGTGTCTCATTACATGGCAATTCCTAAAACGTTACAATATTCCGAGCCAGACTCCAAATATTAAAAATACTACTCCACCTAACCAACGGAGAATATTTATCACTTGGCCTTCGTATTAGCGCAACATTTCGCGTGTACACAAAGAATTCTGACTTTTATATCTGTACAACACATTCACTGCCTTCACTGCCACTTCACTGCTATGAAAGTAGCACTGTTATTTCGTTGTCATGGTTACAAGTGAGGTAGGTCCTTGAACCCAATGTCCACAAATGTCCCTGAAAGCGAGGTGTCTTTCTCACTTCGTACCCTTCATACTATACGCAGCATGATCCGATTTCACACATTCATTCCGTCTCTCTCGGTCTCGGTGTCAATTCGGTTCATAATGTCCACTATTATTTCTTCAAACAATTATAGCGAGTCATGATTGAGAAATTACTAATTGGTGAACAAAATGCACTACATATGAACACACTGTTGTCATCAGAATTCTTTGCTGTACTCAAGTTTCATCGCGTTAGATTTCCGCAGTTTGGAAATCGGCGTCCTGAGCATCGTTGTGCACGGCTTATGACATGAAACACAAGCGTTTTCTGCCGTGAGGAAATGCTTCGATTTGAAACTATTTTGACAGAAACCATGCTCAGTAAGTCCTGTAATTACATGCTGCAATTCAGATTCTTCTCAGTAGATACAGCAAGAGCCTACAAATTGGAAGACCGACAAGTTGGGGTTCGATTTCCGGTAGAGGCAAGAGATTTGTTCCTTCACCATAATGTCCAGCCCGAATCTGGGTTCCACTCAGCGCACTCAGCCTCCCATACATTGGACGCCGGTGGCTGTATCCTCGGGGCAAAGAGGCAGGAATGTGAGGCTAGCAACTCACTTTTGCCTCTCCGTTGGATGCTAGTACCGATATCACTTTTTCTAGCTTGTATCTTTTGCTGCTTCTTTATTTCTTGATTCATTTTATTCAGATTGAATATTTTCTCAGTAATGTAGCCGGTATAGCGAATAGCTGCGGGCCGGTCGACAGAGGGGTCGGAGTTCGAGTCCCGGTAGGGTCAAGAATTTTTCCACGTCGTCCATACCGTCTCTGGGGTTCACTCGATCTCCTATCCAATGGGTACTGGGGGTTCTTTCTCCAGGGGGAAAGTGACCGGGGAGTGAAGCTAACCACTCACCTCCAGCTAGTGCTGACGTCAAGAAAATGTGGATCTATACTTCCACTCCCCCATACGCCTTCATGGCATTAGTGCTTAATTAATTAAGCACAGGGACAACTTTAGCTTTTTACCTTTGCTGCATTGATTTACACACTGTTACGAAAAGTGCACACGGTAGCGTTGTTGATTGAGGTACTGTGCTACAAGCCAGAAGGTCGCGGGATCGATTCTTGATGAGGTCATTGGATTTTTCAATTTACCTAATCCTTCCAGCCGCATTAGGGCCCTGGGGTCGACTCAGCCACTAACGGAAATGCGTAGGAGGAATCTTCTTGGGGTAAAGAGCAGCTTTACTTTTTTCTCGTACTCTGGGCTTAATACCGAAGCGCTTATCTCATTATGCATCAGGGGTGAATAAATAAAATCCACTTACAGGTTGTCATTGTATTGTTGCTGTTATCACTCACTCCATGTTTCAAAATTTCACAGATATGCAGGAAGTAGCAGAAGAGATGTGTGTGTGTGTTTGTGTGATAGGATATATCCATTATTCCGTGGATCAGCTACTATAATCCGTGCTCTGACATAATTCGTGGTAAGTACAAATACGTTATGAAGCGTTGTGAAGCTTGTGAAGGTTGTGAAGTATGAAATCGCGCTTAAAAAGGTTTAAACTCGTCCGTGCTACGAATGAATCGACGTCTTGAAAGCAAAGCCCAATGATGACTTGAAACTTAATACTACAGAGCATAATATGAGTTTTTTCAATATAATACTTTGATTTTTCCTAAAGTGCAGAGCATAAAACGATGGATGAAGAACGTGGAATGAAGCCATATGACAATATGCAGGATATTTCAGTTCTTAGCACCCAGCTAAAACGGAATCTTGCATCTTGGGGCCTTCCAGATACAATATTAAAAGTATGTATATACATGTGCATATTGTTGGTTATGTGTCGAACTGATTGATCAAATAATGCTGGTTCAGTTACGAAAATTTTTACAATGAACGTGATGGAACCGAACTCTGAAGTCGGCTTCCCAAGCTACTGCTTGTCTATGCTGTATCGTGCTGTATTACACGTTACACGTCATAGCTTAGGCGGTTAATTTCCGGCTACTTGCCTCGGTGGCCTGTGTTCAATCCCACGTCAGTTGATTGAGAATTTTGGCGGACAAAGTGGCACTAGCCCATCATTTTTAGCAAGGGGGTTGGGGACCATTAAAATAGTTTTATAGACAGCTTACACATAGGTTTTTTTTTTTTCCCCTTGGCACTACAGCCCCAGTGGGCCTAGGCCTACCTCCATGAACTTATCTGTTCACTTCGGTCTTTCTAGATCTTAGACATACGGTAGGACTCTTTGAGCGGGTGATCAGCTCGTCGCAAGGCCTCTACCTGTACACAAACAGAAAAACGCACACAAACATCCATGCCCTGAGTGGGATTCGAACCTACGATCCCGGCTTCCGAGCGAGTGAAGACAGTGCATGACTTAGACTGCTCGGCTATCTTGACATAGGTTTGTGCCGATAAAAAAATTACCGTTCACCACAGGCTATGCAGGATAGAATATTTTAATATTTATTATTAATATTTGGTAAAATCTCTCCATTTCTTTGCCTATTTTCCCCCAAATCCAGGGTAAGGCAGACACTTGGTGCCCCACCTGCTAGTGCCCGTGTACTGGGGCAGGTTTTCTCTGAATAGTTTGGTTTCTTGTGCTGGTTCTCATTCCACTGAATGTTCCATTTCTTTCATCTATCATCTAGGGCCATTAATGACAATAATACTCAGGGGGTTAGTTTCACTCCATGCCAAGAAGAAAACAGGAATAATGAAATGTCATGATGTTAAGAATTTCCCCCATTTTTTCTGTAAAATAATGAAACAGGCAAAGAGAAGTATTTGTTTTATTTCAAGTATAATCCTGTTAACTTTGTGATTTCAGTATGATGCACACATAAATAAATAAGTAAACATATATACTGTTTTACTTCGAATGTAAGATGCCCTCAAATTCAAGATGTATCCAGTTTTTGAATGTGGGTTTTAGGAGAAAAATTAGTAAGTTGTACATTCTTCAAACTTAAAATGCAACTCAATTTTTCTATGGGAAACAAAATGTGTAAAATATGCATCTTAGAAGTAATATGGTATAGGACTTCAATAAGAATCTTAATGTTTTGCATATTTAAGCATCATAACATTTATGTAGCCACCTATAGTATGTAACATTCCATGGAATATCTATTTTAGAAGTTTCTGAAAGACTAAGCATATATGTTTACAGTACAGGAAATAGTGCTTCTTCATGTATGAAGCTTGAGGTTTTTGCTGTAGTGAAGTTTCATATTGTGCTCCTCTTGCTTATTATTAAGTTATTAAGTTATTAAGTTAAACACCTCACAGAATACATGGTGTCAAAACACAGAAGACCACAATATGAGCACTTCATAATTTTTTTATTTGTCACTGTCTACATTTTGTCCAACAGAATTATGAAATGTCTGGGGTTGTGTCCATGTTTCCATGGCAGGTTGAATGCCTGAGTAATCCTAGAGTCCTTGGAGGAGGAAATTTGATTTATTCAGCACCAACTTCTGCAGGTATGGTGGGATGGTATTAAAAATACTTTTGTTTTTCATAAAGTCATGTATGATTCTTGCAGAAAGTCTCTTCATATTTCAGAATTCAGAAGGCCAGAATTATCAATTAATTAAGGTTCATGAATAATTGCTTTATAGTCTAATATGCTGAATATGGAGTAGATTTATAAATTGTTTCTGAAAGGAAGAGCCTTACAAACTGACATTGACCTCCTGCTTACCACTGCCACAGTTGCAGAGTAATCAAGTGACTATCTTGTACTGAGTTGACTTACATTAGGCATGGCTGGCAGCAAAAGTATTGCTCTGTTGGATACATTCTTGGAGATAATATCCTCTATGTCTGTAATTGCAACAGGATTCATGATATATGTGATATATGAAGAAGAGTACAAAGTTCTGTGAAAATTTTCTATGGATGTGAATTTTACTTCTGTTAATTCATTCATTCATTTATTAGTTCACTATAGATCCGTTAAGAAATTACATTCTGTGGATGTGGTTACCATCATGACAGCTTAAATACATAATGCAGCAATGCACATATGAGTATGAGGGGTGAGCCATAAAACTGGCCCTAGCACTGCGACCTTCAATGGTGTATTGTGCTTCCCTTTTGTATTAACCCGTTATTAATCCTACACTTCGAATGAAATGTAGGACTTTGTTTATGGGGGTTTTATAAGAGTCACTTGGTTCCATGAAGAACTGACCCAGGTGGCGATATCTTAAATAAGCTATAGCCTCACAATCACATAAGATGTTTGTGGCTGATTAATCTTCTTGTAGGCACCTCTCACAAGCTGGGTCCTCTTTCAGTCCCAGTTTGGAAAGGTGCCCTTTTAGGTGGCAATGTCCACTAAGTATTCCTACCACCCATCTGAGCTGATCTCTGTTTAATTTTAACAGGTCCCTCGTTCTTTTGGAGGAGGGTCCTGATATAAATCCTTTTGCCTGTTTGAGTCCAGTTATGGAATCCGTGTTTTTTGTGATTTCTGTTAGTCCAGTCCCTGATCGCTTTCTTGGCAACTCCAATTGAGATGCCGCAAGCGGGTTCAGGTCCTATGAATGGCTGTTCAGATCCTGTTCTTGCCATCTGATCAACAGTGTCCTCATGACCTGGCACCCATATAAGTTGAACTCTGTTATGTTTGGCCACTTGTATGAGGGTTATATTTTCGATAGCTGTTCTTGAATCCCTAACAATTTATGTAGGAAAATTAACCATACTTATTAAGTTATATGTGCTTAAGAATGTATCCAGTTGTTGCCTTCTGTCACAGTTTTCTAAATAGTTTATATTTACATCGCCACATATGATGGGGTACCCAAAAGAAACCGAACTAATTTTTTTGTGGGCAGAGCTTTTGTAGTACCGCGTTTTGCCACTATGAGCGCATAGAGCTAAAGTTCCTGAGTCGATAAGCTGACTACCGTTGCTTCAGAAGGTAAGGACTAGTTTCAGCAGAGTTTATAGTGACAACTGTTTTGTGTGATCGTCGTTTTTGCAATGGCTTATTTTCGTGAACAGCGTGCGGCGGTGAAATTCTGCTTTTTGCTCGGGAAAAGTGGAACAGAAACTCTTGAAATGTTATAAACGGCGTACAAGGACGATGCTAAGGGGAAAACTCAAGTGTTTGAGTGGTTTTCCCATTTCAAAAATGGTGAAATGTCAATTGATGACAAACCTCGTTCTGGTCGTCCTTCCATGGCCCGAACATATGAAAATGTTAAAAAAATTCGTGAAATCATCAAGGAAGATCGACGACGGACCATTGAAGAAATTGTGGAGCTGTCGGGAGTGACTTGGAGCTCAGCGGCCAGATTTGTGGCAGTCGGGTGACTGGTTTTTCCATCATGACAATGCCCCTGCTCACACAGCCCTGTCTGTATGACAGTTCTTGACCAAAAATGGTATGACCCCTGTTCCTCACCCTCCATACTCACCCGACCTTGCCCCGTGCAACTTTTTTTTGTTTCCTCGAATGAAAAGCGACATGAAAGGAAAAAACGACCGAGGCGCTGTCAAGCATCTCAAAAGATGAATTTAGACAATGTTTTGAAAAATGGAATAAAAGACTAGACAAGTGTATTAGTGTAAGTGGAGAGTACTTTGAAAGGGATTGAAGGTTTGTGCTTAAAATTTGAATAAATAAGTTAAAAAAAAATAAGTTCGGTTTCTTTTGGGTACCCCCTCGTATAATAAATTCAACTTTATTATTATGAAGCCTATTCAAGATGTTATTCAATTTTTGCAAGAAATTACTAAAATTTCCTATAGGTGACCTATAGACAGCTAATATAATCATTGTGATGCTGGTTAAAATTAATTTTATTGCACAGGCTTCAGTGTCCTCCACACAATAGTTAGCAACAGATACAGTATTAAACTTAATCGAGCTATGAATATATATTCATACACCCCCCCCCATTTTTATAAATTGATCTACAATATTTGGCCCCTAATACATAGTTGTCTACTAATATATTATTTATTTAACATGGGTACATGTTAAATTTTAACAGGTAAGACACTAGTTGCTGAGATTCTCGCCATCAAGACCATTCTTGAAAAGAAGAAGAAGGTCATCATTATCCTTCCATTTGTATCTGTTGTACGGGAAAAAATGTTCTATTTTCAGGTATGAACATAGCTATTGATGTCTCTTCATAGGATAGACTAAATTCAAAATGTACACACTGACATGCAAGTGTGGTGATTCTTACATGTTGCCATTCATGAAGTACATTAAGCATCAGTAAATTTTTAAATCTCTGAATTTATTGAGCTGATGTGCTTACAACAGTCATACCAATAACAGTAACAGCAACATCAACAAGAACACCATAATTTTTATTAGCCCATATATTTATAGAGAGTATGAAATTGTTACCTTTTCCAACTAATGTACTTAGGAAATGTTGAGCTGTCACTCTGATGCCATCATTTCAAAGAGTTAACCATTTTTCACTATTGTGTAAATGTCTAATCAGCACTGGGGATAATCTTGTAACCTGACACCCTGCCTGGTGTCACTTCATTTGTCACTGAATCATATAGCTCTGACATGAAAAATGTAAATGTACTCTGAATAAAAAATATTAAGAAATGCCCTGTCACAGAAGTGTAATGTTTGCATGACCTTCCCCTATCTATTCTTGCTCAAGTGGTGAGAATTCTGTTCAGAGTTTGGTATCTCCAACAGCTAATAGTACTTGGATCTACTAGTGTTACTCTCCTCTGCTCTCAGTTTCTTCCATGTTGTATCTATGGAACTGTTCACTATCCTTCTGACATGTAAAACTTCAAAATTTGGAAGGAAATGGTCATGGCTCAATTGACATAGTATCCAGGTATTTTCCTGGAGGGACTGAGGGAAACCATGAACAACATTCGTCAGGATAGTCAGTATCCTGGCCAAGATTTGGATTTAGCATCTCCAGAATACTAGTCTAGAGCATTACTATTGCACCATCCTCAGTAAATGATGGAAAAAAAATGCTGTTATGCATTTCTACACACACAAGGGAAACATGACCCCATTCTTTATTTAAGCAAGGTTCATGTGTACTGTTACATACAAAAATTCTGTTTATTTTAAGACAGAGTTAAGCCCCAGATTTTGATCAAAATGTTTAAAACAGTACAACACACAAAAATAACTTTTGAGTTAAAATTACACAAATCAGATAGATGAAGTAGTACTTAAAAGGTTGGGGTCTCTGGAATCAAATTTGCATAAAGGTCACTTGAAGCAAATATATATATATTTATTCTTTCTTTTCCTTGTAATATTAATACCATGTAAATACATGGTGCAATTATAAAGAGCAGATACTTATTTTAGAACTTCAGTGTTCAATATCTGTTTGTTGTGTACAATAGCATTTTTGTATTAGCCTTCAAAGGATTCAATGATATTAGGGGTTACAAAATAATTTACACAAAAGAACAAAGCCGATGTTCACTTTATAAAAGCGCTTTTAACATAATGGTTACATATCTTGTTCAGTGGCTGTCTATAGCAGGAAGTTTACTGATAGAAGTTTTTACATAGGACTTGCTCTCGAGTAGTGGTGTGCGAGTGGAAGGATTGATGGGAAGTCATAGTCTCCCTGGTGGCTTCAAGAGTGTTGACATTGCCATTTGTACCATTGAGAAGGCCAATAGTCTCATAAACAGGTAAATACATTTCATGTACTTTCAGAAGATTAACTGTGAAGATGACGACTACCATTCTGATTTTTTATATTTTTTAGTCTCAGGCCATCATGATGTTGGTTATTCTGTGTCACTGTGCATTATGTTGAGACATTTTACAACCGTGAATTTTCTCAGCTTATGATGAGTGTTTTGTTTTAACAGACATTGGCAAATTCTGTGGATCTAACAAGCCAAAACAGACACCCTCCTTTGAAGCTTGTATTCAGCTAGCAGCCAAATGGCAGTGGCATGAAAGCAAATCAAGCATAAGAGGGGAGACACCAGTGACTACCATGGGGGGGGTAAAGGGTCTGCGGTAGATATGAACAATGATCATGGTAGTTAGTAAAATATCATCACATATATTAGTGACTATAGATGGGATTTGTATTGGTGAATAGATTTACTGACCATTTACAGGTTGTAACTACAAATAACTATAACACTATTGATGATTTCCACACTAAGTCTTCTCAGTCTGCTTTCCCTAGTCTTTACTTGGTAATAGCTCTCCACAATGGCTATTCATCTGCAATGTCTTCAATAGACATTTCCTGGTAATGAATCTTAGCAATGGAGATTCTTCAGCTTCCATTGCCTGCTGGTTAACACTTCACAACTGCACTGCGCTCACTCTCTGAACTGAACTTGATCGATCCAGTCACACAGAGGATGCTGTCCACGACACCCCCTCCATGATGTCATCATGCGTATGCTTACCAAATTGCTCCATAGCAATGGCTGTACACATCACACATCATGACACCTCCTCTATTGTTGCATGCAGGCATTACCTAGCAATGGCTGATCCTCTGCCTCCAAAGTTCTTGCTTTTATCAAATACACAACAATATTTTGCACAGACGCCAATGTTCTTCATAGCAATTAAAATGTTACTTCATGTTGCTGGTAGAATTGATTTTAACACTTTAAATTTGCATGTTATACTACGCATTACATGTAATTTATTCCAGATCTGCTTGAAACAGTATAATATGCATTAGTTCAGGGGCAGTTCAGGTAAATTAAGTTTAATTAATCAGCCTTGGAACTATAATACAGGGTGTTTCAAAAAGAGCTTTACAACTTTGAATGCTTATATAAATTTATACAGAGGACATAAATAATGTTTTGAACTGTCATAATGTAGCAAAACACACAGAGTTTTACCTCGGATAGTTATAGTTCAATGTGACTTCCATTGGTAATGCGGCAGACGTCCCACCTGTAGTCAGTCTCTTGCCACACGCTACGTAGCATCTCTGGTGTCACTTCTGCAACTGAGGCAGTAATTCGAGTTTGGAGCTCAACGACATTTGCAGGCAAAGGTGGTACGAACACTCAATCTTTAATGAATCCCCATAAGATAAAATCCAGGGAACAAGGTGACCATGCTGTCGGCGCCTCTCTACCAATGCACTGACCTGGGAAATGGGTTTTGAGGTACTCACACACTTCTCCAAGGTAATGAGGGGGTGCACCATCTTGCTGGAAGTGAATGCATCCTTCTTGGTCAACTTCGTCTAACTGTGGAATGAGGAACTCTTGGAGCATGTCCAGATATACGATACTGGTAATGGTCATCTCCATGAGGAAAAAGGGGCCGTACACTCTTTCTTTGCTGAGGCCGCAAAACACGTTCACCTTTGGGCTATCATGAACATGTTCCAGGGAGACACGTGGATTTTCGCTGCCCCAGATCCTGCAGTTGTGGGTATTGACCTTACCACTGACATGAAACGTGCTCTCATCACTGAAAATTACGGAGTCCAGAAACTTCTCATCGTCTTGTATCTGATGAAACATTTGCATACAGAATTCCTTATGAACCACCTTATTTGCATCCGTAAGGTGTTGAACGATGAATAGGTTGAACGCTTTTAATTGTAAACGTTTTCGTAACACTCATCACACAGTAACATTTGGAATACCAGTTTCCCGAGACGTATGTCACATTGACTTTCGTGGACTTTGAATGAAGCTCTCCCTAATCTGTTCCACTGTAGTGTCAGAAACACATGGCCAACCGGGTGACTTGGCATGGCGCACAGAACATCCGGTCTGAACAAAATTTTTGTGCCAGGAGTAAATTGTAGGCCTACTGGGAGGTTCCTTGTGATACTGAGTGCGAAATTTCCTTTGAACTTATGTAGCAGATTTCGTTTTTTCGAACCAAAACACAACGAGCACGCTCTGCACCTGTGAAAGTAGCCATCTTGATTTCAATTGCGCGAGCGCTCGTGGTGGCGGGATTGGGTACTACAGTACCACGTGCATGAAACTCGGTGTGTTTTGCTACATTATGACAGTTCAAAACGTTGTGTATGTCCTCTGTATAAATTTATATAAGCTTTCAAAGTTGTAAAGCTCGTTTTGAAACACTCTGTATAAGGACTGTGTGATCCGAGGATTATTTGATTTTTATTTACTTGTTTTCTAGAAGGATCTCAGTGAAGTAGTTACCATCTTTTTAATCAAGATATATGTTATTTTAAGTACTACAAAGCAAATGGAATCTGAGGATTTTGTTAAACAGAGAGAGACTGCATAAAATTTAGTAAGCATATATTTTACACAGAAACTCTGGCTTTCTGCAAGGACATTAAAGGTATACGAAGGGGGGCCCAAAAATAACCGGAACCGACCTGTTGCGCGCGCATGCTTTGTAGTTACGAGTTGTGCTGCTAGGTGGTGTTAGCTGGGGGTCTCCCGCGACTGTTAGTGAGCTGGCGTCAGTCTGAGTTAAGTGGTTTGTCTGTGGTGCTCTGTTGTGTGCGTTCCTGTTTCAACCCTTTGGCGATTAGTGAGATGGCCGACCAGAAGGAACAAAGAGTGTGCGTGAAATTTTGCTTTCTGTTAGGGAAAACTGCAGCCGAGACTGTTGGGATGCTTCGGCAAGCCTTTAATGATGATGCTTTGGGGAAATCACAGGTCTACGAGTGGTTTTCCCGTTTCAAATCTGGCAACATGTCAACAGAAGACATGCCACGCCCCGGGCGTCCTTCGACAGGAAGAAATGACGAAAACATTGCCAAAATCAAACGTGCAATTGATGAAGATCGTCGAAAGACCATTGACCAACTTTCTGAGGAAACGAACATCTCATGGAGCACGGTCCAGCGAATTTTAACCGAAGGTTTGCACATGAGACGGGTGTCTGCAAAATTTGTTCCTCGCTTGCTCGGAGATGACCAAAGAGAAAACCGCGTGAATGTTTGCCGCGACTTGAAGAGTGAAGTGCAGTTTTCCCTAACAGAAAGCAAAATTTCACGCACACTCTTTGTTCCTTCTGGTCGGCCATCTCACTAATCGCCAAAGGGTTGAAACAGGAACGCACACAACAGAGCACCACAGACAAACCACTTAACTCAGACTGACGCCAGCTCACTAACAGTCGCGGGAGACCCCCAGCTAACACCACCTAGCAGCACAACTCGTAACTACAAAGCATGCGCGCGCAACAGGTCGGTTCCGGTTATTTTTGGGTCCCCCCTCGTATTCTCGATCAGAATTCATAAGTGAATTTTTTTCTTATTGCTTGTTTTGTTAATGTCTCACTGGAGGTTACTTTCTAAATAGCCTTCATACATGTTATTTTTGTTTGTATCTCCCCTTTAGTTCACTTTTTTATGGTAATAATTGAAGTATCCTATACATATTTTATTGATGAACAGGTTGCTTCTGAGATAGCTCCAAGAAACACTGTATGGAACAAAATTATATGACTAGAAAGCAACAAATACTGTTCATAAAACACTTTACATTTCTTGATGGTCATTTCACATTAGTTTTCACTCTGTATTTTCAGAACCAGGGACACATATCATTTTCAGTTTAGCTTTACTCTAGGTTTCATTTTATAAAATTTTTTCTGTTGTACACTTTATGGGTATTTGGTGTTGGACAGAAGGGTATGTACCAGTAAGTTATAATTCAAACAATGCATAAAAACTACAATTACACAGTGAATGAAATGTCATAAAAATTGCATTATAATGATTGATTGGTATGTAGGTTACTGGAAGAAGGGTATCTTCACAAGGTTGGTGCTGTGGTTGTTGATGAACTGCATCTCTTAGGTGATCCTTTTCGAGGTTATTTGCTAGAACTGCTCCTCACCAAGATACTCTACATGTGTACTGTGTAAGTCTCTTCACATCTGTTTTCTGTTTTCTATACAGGAGCTGTTTAATCTGTGTGTGATATATGAAAAGGAGTGACAGTAGAATCTCCTTTTCAAGATACTGTATATTATATTTATTTATTTATGTATGATTTGTTCTGTAACTCACATTATATAGCACTGAATATTAGAACAATTAATGAATAATGAATTTGAGAGGATGTGGAAGAAGGTCTGATTACACATCATTACAAACTTAAAATATATGTAAGAACAAATACTGTTTACAAGCATTATTGTAACTGATTAGATAGCCCAAGATGATATTTGGCATTTATGTTTGATGTGTGGGAAACTTTGTTTCCAATGTCATTTAAAGGCTAATATAGGAAACAATGTGACTTCAGTGTTATAAGGTCAGAATCAATTTTTAGTTTTAAGTTAAACTGTCAAACAAACTTACATTAAAAAACCTTGTTTTTATTTTGTATTATCCACTAAATATTTCAACTTTAAATGGTCATTGTTGAGTGATGTACACAAATCAGTCAAATACAGTAGACCACCAATTAACTGGAAGTGGATTATCCAGGTTGGGGATTATCTGGAGGTTCTATTTAGAGAAGTGATTGATGTGGCCAATGTCTAAAGATAATCTTCATCTGAAATTACTTATTAAAAATGAACAAGTTCAATATGAAAGGAGTTTTATTTCATGCCTCAACATGTACTTGGAAACTTGAGAAGGCTTTCTTTGGTTGTTTGTTTTGACATGTACAGGTTGGAGCAAAGGAAATGCATGTTTTCACATAAGAATAACTTTGTCGTTTTAAAAGAAAACTTTTTAATTACGCAAAATAGAAGGCATTTTAATGCATTTTTAACTTACTTATGGAAAATAATGTCAGTCAGATGACATCCTTGCTGGACACACATTTGGAGCCTCTCCTCAAAATTTGCATCACATTCTCCAACATGTCTTCTGGCACAGCTGCGATTTCTTGATGAATGGGAAGTTTCAGCTCTAGGATCGTTCATGGTCTGTTCGTGTACACTCTTGCCTTGAGGTATCCCCACAGAAAAAATGTTACAAACTAATAGATCAGGGGAGAATGGGGGCCAAGAAACATCATCGAAATGGGAGATCACATGGTGGGGGATCATGCTTCCAACAACTTCCATTGATGCCCTAATCGTGTGAGCTGTGGCACCATCCTGTTGGAACCACATTTGTCTCATGTTTACCCAACGCCTTAGGAGTTCTGGATGCAGGAAGTTGACATGTCGACGTAGCGCATCAAAGTCACTGTAACTGCAGTGCATTAACTGCCCCCACGCTCCCATGATCTATCGGTTTATGGGTATACCTCAAGGCAAGAGTGTATACAAACAGACCACGAACGATCCTAGAGCGGACACTTTCCATTCATCAAGAAATCGCAGCTGTGCCGGAAGACATGTTGGAAAATGTGATGCAAATTTTGAGGAGAGGCTCCAAATGTGTGTCCAGTAAGGATGTCATCTGACTGACATTATTTTCTGTACGTAATGTAAGTTAAATTGCATTAAAATACCTTATCTGTTGTGCAATTTAGTTTTTTTTTTAAAAACAACAAGGTTATTCTTATGTGAAAAACATGCATTTCCTCTGCTCCACCCTGTATAAGTGACACAGGAGGCTTTCAGAAACCACACTCATGTTTCTGCCAATTGTTTTCAAAATGTGCAAATAAAATACACTATAAATGCATGTGTCATTTTCTCAGTCCCAACTCACAAGTTAGCTACATATTCCTTTCAATGACATTTTCCATCCATCCCAGATAATCGGGAGTCTTACTGTATATACAGACTTTAAGTACAGATTTGTTAAAATGTAGAGATATATAAAAATATAGATAAAATAATAATGCATTAGGTCAGACCTGACTTCATGTTTTTTAAAGTAAGTTTGTATAATGGTTTATCTTATGAATTAAAAGTAAACAAAAACTGGGTGAAAACATAACATTTTGAGAATGAATATTTTAACAACTACTTTGGGCTATTCCAAGTCAATTAGAGGATAGAAATAATTGTGTATTTACTGTAAAAGGGAGGACAGTGTGAAGATACAGGTGGTGGGTATGTCAGCTACCATCCCCAACTTGGCTCTCTTAGCTACGTGGCTTGGTGCCGATCTCTATCAAACAGACTTCCGACCAGTTCCCCTGAAGGAGTTCTTGAAAATTGGTCCTTCTGTATATGACAGTCAAATGAATAAGCTGTATGATATGCAAGCTTCCAAATACATTCAGGTGAGATCACAGTCAGCAGTTTTATTATTTTCTTGTGCTAAAATATGGTTCTTTTTCAGAATATGTTGAGATATGAAGTATCTGGTATTTTCACTCTTTGCTGAATTTGACTTGGTAATGGTGTAGCTAGTAGTGTTAAATAAAGAAGAAATTCAAATCACGTTAGAAATTCCAGTTTTACATTTTTTCTTGAGCATAGAACATTAATGACAAATACAACCTGCGAGTCCAATAAGGAATATAGAGCCCAAAATGGGGGAGGGGGAAGTGAGGAAAGGATCCAAAAAAGAATTGCTACATTCTTTGTCTTATGCAGTAGTAATCTTTACTACCATTCCTGGGAGTTAAGTTGCTGGAGAGTGGTCTGTCTGATGTGTTTGCCAGCCATCGAATGGATTAAGATGGTGCTGATATTTCAGAAAGGGTTTAGTATAAATTAAATTTTTCTTCAGAAAGAACAGTCATGCTTGTTGCATTATATTAAGATTCATATCACATGCCCTGCTGGAACAGACTTCCTATTTTCCTGCCCAAATATATGTGGTGCAATCCAAAAGTTCCAGAAATTTGAATTTTGCGCGTGGATGGTTATGAGTGCATCGAAATACTGCTAGGTGTCTCCCCACACACCCTTCTTCAACCAGTGTGGCAAGCGGCGTCAAGTTGAATGGTTGGGTTTATTGTTGGTGAACGTATTTCCATTGTGTTTCTGTGAGTTTGCGGTTTTGTGATGGCTGACCTGAGAGAGCAGCATGTCTGTTTTAACTTGTTTTAAACTTGGGAAAACCACTGCAGAAACGCACCAAAGGTTGAAGCAAGCTATTGGTGACAACAGTTTAAGCCAGACACAAAATTACGACTGGTATAAGGGTTTCAAAAATGGCTGACATTGACTGATGATGACGATTGTTCGGGACGGCCGTCAACTGGCACCACACCAGAAAATGTCACGAAAGTTAGGGATCTGATTCTGCAAGATTGTAGACTTACCATCCAAGACCTCTGTGACACCTTGGGACTAAGTTATGGTACATGTCAATGAATTTTGTCAGAGGAACTGAACATGAGGAGGATTGCATCAAAGTTTGTGAAACGACTGCTGAAAAATGAACAGAAGCAGCATCGCCTGGGAGTCTGCAGGGAACTTCAACAACAGCTTCAAGAGGATCCAAACTTTCTTTCAAAGATTGTCACTGGTGACAAAAGTTGGGTTTATGGCTACGACCCTGAAAATAAGCAGCAATTGTTGCGATGGAAGAGCCCTTCTTCACCTCGGCCAAAAGAAGCTCGACAAGTCAAGAGCAACATTAGGTCCATGTTCTGTTTTTTTTTATATCGAAGGAATTGTTCATAAGGAGTTCGTCCCTCCTGGTCAGACAGTCAGTAAAGAGGTCTATCGCGATGTTCTAAGGCGTTTGAGGGAGGACATGAGGAGAAAACGTCCAGAGAAGTGGCGCACAAACGACTGGGTACTCCACCATGACAATGCACTACCATACATGGCTTACATTTTGCAGGAAGTTTTGGCTAAAAACAAGATGGCAGTTGTTCCCCACCCACTGTACTCGCCAGACTTGGCTCCATGCGACATCTTTCTCTTCCCCAAGATGAAAATCAAGTTGAAAGGGTGAAGATTTGATACAGTTGAGGAAATGCAAGCAGAAACGCAGACGGTACTAAACACCCTAACAAAGAAAGACTTCCAGGATGCATTTGAAAAGTGGCAGAAACGCTGGGATCGGTGTATGCGCTCCCAAGGGGACTACTTTAAAGGTGATGGTGCAGAATAAGATCCAAGCAAGACGTAATAGTTTTTATTAATATATTTCGGAAACTTTTGGATTGCACCTCTTATATAACACACAGAGGGTTAAGGTGGCTGTAAAAGGATTTATCACAAGTTCCAAATATTTAGGTCTCTGAATTTTGGATGATAGAGAACGCCTGATTTTGTTCAGTGTTGTTATCTTCTTGTGGATAACTGAACTTGTTTGGTGCATAGGATGACCCAGACCATATAGTGCAGTTATGTCTGGAGACTTTGACGAATGGCTACTCAGTGCTGGCATTCTGTGCCACTAAAAACTGGTGCGAGAAACTTGCACAGCATATTGCTAAAATGTTCAGGACCATTGGTAAGTCTTTTCAAAATCTTATTAATTATTTCACTGCTATTGTCAAATCCCATGACTGAACATTATCTTTAGCCACTTCACATTCCCCAAACTATTTTCCTAACATTCAATTTAATATTTTTCTGTTTCATTCTAAGTGTTCTGAGTGACTGCTTTCTAAGAAGTTTCCTCAACAAGATTTTGTGTGCCTCTCTTACTCCTCTCATCTGAGCTGCAAGTCCAGTCCCTTGTAATCTCATTAACAATACCAATCAGAATCTAAGTCAAGAGATTCCTTATTCAGTAGAGCTTCCATTTCCCACTTTATATTTCTTAAGTACAAATATTTTTCTAAGTGCTTGGGTTTATGGACTCTTCGAATTATGTTCTCCCCTCAGAGGACAGATTATATTTCACACTCATATAAAACAAACGCTGAAGCAAGTATTTTAACTTTTATCATGTGAGCACAAATAATTTTAAGTCACCCAGTACTACAGGGCTACCAGACATTATTGGATTTATAAAGGTGAAAAGGCTTGAATGGGCTGGACACATAATACGTTCCAGCGAGAATAGAACCATCAAGAACATGCTTAATATTAAACCAGAAGGAAATAGGAGAGTGGGAAGACCAAGGTTAAGATGGGAAGAATGTGTGTGTGTGTGTGGCAGGACATTAGAATTTTGGGTGTAAAGAACTGGAGGAATGTAGCATCGAATAGAGAAGAGTGGTGAGCAATCCTGAGGAAGGCCAGGGCTCACAAAGGGCTGTCGTGCCAGTGATGATGATTATGAGTACTACAGGGCTAGTGGCTGGGTTTTGACTGAACATGACAGCAGTAGTATTTAAGAAAATGAAATGTTTGATCAACTGAATTATGTGCATGCACTTGTGGAGCTACCCTGAGTATGCAGAAGATGTTTAACACTGGTACATTACTTCTACTCCTTCCACAAGCATCAGCTTGAGGTCAACAAGATGACATGCAGATTTCAAGATCTTTCTGAGCAACAACTGTGGAACATAAATGCAGTATTTATCTGAATTAAAGATGACACCCATCTAAGAAAAGTGTCTGCACATGATTTTATATACTAACTTCATGCACTTATCATAAGCAAACACGTGAAAGATGGCTAAATATTTGAAAATATGTTATACAGTCAACTCTCGATTATCCGGGGGCGGATTAACCGGTTTNCCGTTCTCAGCTTCATGACCTTTGCTGTAATTGTGGGGAATTACAGCTTCAGATTCATAGCTTCAATGTTTCTTTGTGCAAACTTGTAGCTGGTGGTTCCTGACCTAGAAACATTTCTCTGTCTCACTTTCTCCCTCACTTGCTCTGCTGACAGCACAATGTGGTGTGAATGATAGCATTTACTGCATCTTAGAAAGATCAACCTGCTGAAAGCTGAAGGTGTTTAAAACACTCAATATATTTTTTGTATCCAAATTGATGATAACTCTTTTTATTATTGTGACATGAGACCTGAAAGTCAGAATAGTCCATTGCTAGACAATAGCTCGCTAGGTACGTTCTCCATGTCAACAGAATCAACAAAGGTTTCCATTGATATGAACAAGCAGTCAACAGTTTCCATGGAGAACGAAGGCATTGTTAAGACAGTCATATTTCAAGGCAGTTGCAGTAGAAGAAGTGACTGATTTGTAAATCAGAACCAAGTTAATCACTGTAGAAGAGAAGACACTTGTAGTCCAGTAAGGAAAGTTTGAAAAGTAATGGTGATAAACCATCTTGTTTCAGACCATTTTAAATAGGAAATGTATCAGAAAAATACGTATATACCTATGTTGCCTTTACTGTAGGTTTCTTTTAAACACATTTTAATTAGCCTAACTAGTGGTTACCCCAAACTCAATGAGAATATTGTACTATACTTCCCTTCTAACTGAATCGTAAGCTTCCTTGAAGTCTACAAATAACTGATATACTGTTTGATTGTATTCCTATTGCTTCTATAGTATCTAAGGAATGCAAAAAGTCTGATCCACAGTTGATCTGTTATGTCAAAACCCACACTGATGTTCACAGTAATTTCATCCACATGTGGGCTTCAGCATGAGAGGGATATCGGATACAATTTTTTTTTAAATTAATAATGATATGCCTCGATAATTACAACAGTCAGTTTTATTGCCTTTCTGAATAGACTCAGGCAGTTCTAAATAGAATGGAGTGGTTTGTGTTTACAATATTTCTCCTGTTGCTTGAATCAGTTCTGCTGGAATTTTATCAATATATAATGATTTATACTTTTTCAACTTTGAAATCAGAATTTCGCCCTCAAAGGAACTAGGCTGAGGTACTAATGAATCAGCTGTATGTATATCTATCTGCCTAACATCACTGACCCTATGCACATTCAGTAACTGAGGGAAGTAGTACTTCCAGCTATTGAAAATGTGGGAATCTCTAAGCTGATCACCATTCTCAACCTTTACTAAGTTACTAGGTTGGTAACACCTCTTAAATTCATTTATTCCTCTATACAGATCTCTAATATTCTTGTTCTTGCTGTTTGTTGCAAGCTAATCAATTTTGTCTTTCA